AAAAAAAAAAATCCAGTGCTGCGGAAACAGTTACACCCATCAGCAAAGCACATAACCCATTTTTAATACTCTGATCTTACAGGTGTGTTGGAGGTTTCTTTGTCTGTGGTATCCCTGTGGCTGTAAGGACCACTGCTTGGGTAACTCCAACCAAAGTATTTAGCCATCACCTTGTTCAATGACTTCCTAAACTTCTCTCCTACAAATGCGTAGATCACTGGATTTACACAGCAGTGGGACAGCGCGATAATCTCAGCAATGCTCATGGCAGTGTTGAGGGCTATTGAACTCACACAGGGGTTGGGTCCCAGGTTTATGTCAAACACCTCCAGTGTTTCGAAAAAAACTGCAACATTATAGGGAACCCAGCACACCACAAACACACACACAATGATGAAAATCAGCTTCACAGCCTTGTTCCTATTAGAGTTCCTGGACTTTGACAGCACAATGAGGATTTTCACATAGCAGAAAATCATGATGGGAAGGCACAGAAAAAGGCCCACTGTGTTCTCACTGAAGTTGCGCTGCAACTTCCAGAAATGCTTTGTGTCTTCTGGGTAGATGGGCTGGCACTCTGAGACGTTATCATCAGACTCCAAGGAGGCAAATACTACCCGAGGGGTTGCCATAGTGACAGATATCGCCCAAATAATGATGCTGGCTGTGATGCCGTAGCGACGTGTCCGGGCTCGAATGGCTGCCACGGCATGGACGATGGCCAGGTAGCGGTCCACGCTCATGAAGGTCACGAACAAAGTCCCACTGTAGAAGCCTAACTGTTGGGTGGAAGAAGAGAGGAAGTAAAATTAGAACAGGATGTGACATGAGATGAGGAAACCTTTGATGAGGCTTTAAATGCGTCAGTGAGGTTCTTCACAAATCTGACATTACCCAGCAGTTGCTTCACGCATCACCTGAGCTTTAGAGAATCGAACAACTACACAGGTGTAATTGTTTGGGAATTTTGCATTCAGAAAACAGAAATCATTTCTTTTGACTAAAATATGAAGTAATTAATGTGAGTAAACTGGTTAAACTTTCACTTATTTAAAAAAAAAAAAGTAACATAAAAAAATTTTCATCTTGACAAAGGAGCCAATTCGGATTACTTAGTTTATATATAAACTTTACTTTTTGGTAGTACATATGATTCAATACAACCGAAAACTATTGATTTTGATGAGCCTAAGAATAATCATCTCTTTGTCTTCGCCAGCGATATGGCAAAGCCATGAGGAAGTTGCAGTTCGTCAGTCATAGTTGCAACATTTCAAATTCAACAGACTCCAGATTATCTGTTTTTTAAATCTCGTGGACCGCAGCCTTGGCTCTGAAGAAGGCACGGTATCGACGTGTCAATCATGAAAGTTGAAGTGCTTCAGTTGTTCCAATAATGAATATGCATTCCATGTGTTATAATGGTACACATGAGGTTTTCCATTTAGAGAAAGAAAGTGATAAAGAAAATAACTACCTGATAAACTCCTGTTTTTATTTTGCATAAGCCGAGGTTCTGGGAACTGTATACCCAGAGGGGCAGTGATACAGCCACTAAGAGGTCTGACAGAGTCAGGTTGAGAAGACATACATCAGTCATAGTTCTGAGCTTAACATGTCGCAGGAGGACCCACAGGACTGTGCTGTTTCCTGTGAAATAAATTCAGATATTAATCTTAGAACAGAACGTATGTGAAAGTCTGATGCATGCATGAACTTTATTGATGAGTTCTGTGCTTCAGTATACAGAGTTGAGTCTTGGGCTATCGTACAAGCTATGTCTGTGTATTCAAAAAGCCTTATCAGGGGCTGGTTTATAAATGCTGTGTTACATAGAATTGGTATGGGAAAAAAAAAGATACATACCTAGAATACCAACACAAAACAGCACATAGCAAAGCACTGTTAAGACCATGGATCCAATGAAATCCGAACTTGAATCCGGATTGCAGGTATCATTGTAATCATAGTCATACATTTCTGAGTAGTTAAAGGTCCCGTTATCTGACATGGTGGTACAGCTGTGAGACAGAAAAGGAAATTTGGTCAATGTAGTACAACAGTCATGCAAAAAGGTGAGAATGTCACCATCACGTTTAAAAGCTACTGTGGTCTTTTACATAAAGAGAAAAAAAGAAAAAACAATTACCTGAACTATTGTCAATATATTCATCTCAAGTTATTTAAATGATGTAAACAATACACAAGTAATAACAATATGGAGGCTAGCCATTGTTACTATATAGATGTAATTGGCACCAACAATACCAAATCTGTTAAATCAGCTTGTTGGGAAATCAAATAAAAGTAGTTCGTCTGGTGTTAAAAAAGGTGCAGCTCAGTGCTTTAAAAAGCACCAGCCAAACCACTCAAGCAGCTGGACCTGTCTGATCATGTTTTCAGTTTCAAACCCAGTTCTGGATTGTTTTGGGTGAGTCTCTGACATACATGCACACATATGAAGTGTTCCAGTGTTTTCCTCCTTTTTCTTCAGCCCATCAGAAGATTAAAAAGTGGCAATACAGATAGAGAGAAATGCCCAAAAGACATAAAACTTCCTCTATTCAGTTTTTGTCCTCAAATGCCTTTTGTGTTCCCTTTCCCCAGTGCCACGCACTCTTCAGTCACTCTGCTGTCTAACAGATATCACAGATAATTTAAAGAGGTACATTTACATCTATGATCATTATAAGATTATGTTTTTTGTGCCATATTAAGCCAGAACATGTCTACAAGCCATTTGTGGTAGTTACTGAATTTCTTACCAAACATTAACTTGAGTCTGTTCTCATTCTATTTTAAAGCCAAAGCACCTGAATATTTTACATATAAATATGTATGTATGTGTAAAAAAAAAAAAGCCTACTTACTTTATGATGGCACCTTTTGGCTTCTGATTTAATTTTTCTTGTGGAAAGTCACATAAGAATTTCCTCCATAGTTTAGCTATCAGAAGTCTTTAAAGCCAGTCTTCAAGAAACAGAAAAGAAGTATGTTGTTTATTTCTTCTCTTTATTAGACACACTATTCCCCACAAGCATGATGAATGAACAGTTTGCTCATCAAATGAACATTTTAAAGTGATGATAAATTCTTCAAAGGGAAAAATTAGTTCAAACAGGGAATTGAGAGAGTGGACTGGACTTTCCTGCCCTTTAAGTAGAACATTTTTGATAGAATCATCATTTAGTGAGTCATGTAAGAGAGGCTTATGTGTAAAAACCACCCAGAAGGTTAACTTCTGTTTTCAAAGTACAGGCTAAATATAATGAATGGCTGTAGATGAATGCTTATACATCCATAGATATCTCAAAACTTCCTGCCGGCGTGACCATAATCAAATTGATGTGATCTATTCAAACCGCATGTCAAACATTTTTCCTTTCACTATAAACAGATGCACAACCACCTGACTTGTTACCGTTGCCGACCCTCACTTCCTGTGGGTGACAGTGTTTACGCGCTGACACACACACACACACACACACGCATATTCCTCAACTACACAGTGGGTTAAAGGGTGTAGGAGGTGAACGAGCTGAAGTAAGCCTAGTAAGTTGAAACTAAATGTTTAGAAATCAAAAATTTGAACACGCTTACCACACTTTTGGCCAAAATCACTGCTCCTGAATGTGTATGTTCTTGTGCTGCGCGCCGAGCTTACATGTCATCCTGCCAATATGCATTGCTTGCTTTTTGTGTCAAATCCTGCAGCGGAGCTCATTTCTGGTAACGTGAACTCTGGGTTTTGCTGTTTCCTCCGCATTGTGTTAAACCTGCAAAGAGGTGTTGGTGTGGTTTTCTCAGAAATGTCCCTTTATGCGTTAACATGAGGCGGGAAAAGACAAAGGGGAAAAATATATTCAAATGAGGAGTTTCCTTTTTATTCCTTTCAAATATACCTCTTAATAATCTGATTTCTAAAAACTAAATTCAGCTTATCAGGAATGACTGAGCCTAGTTTGCACAACTTTACTTGAACTTACTCACAGTTCCTGCCTGAAATAAATCATGCTAGTGTTTACTGGTGGCTGCAACCATAAATACATTGATCTGAAACTACCTAACATGTCTTACCAAATGTACATATCTCAAATGTAATTTTGGAATCTGACAAGAATGCTCAATGACCAAGTGTATGACTTTCATTTCAAGTTCAAGATGTGCTGTATCATTTATTGTCCTAAGAAAACAGTTACACAGAAACAAGATGAGAGATAAGTACATGAAAGACTTTGATCTCCCCATTTGCAGGGTACTTACAAATACATCATGAAATCATGAAATAATAAAAGAAAGAGAAATTGCATATATTTGAAATTTAGAAAGAGATTAGCTTGAAATATATAAATTAAAGTACAGGTTTTGTACAAACATCAGAAAAAGTTTATTTTAGAATATGTTTAGAATGAAAAACAGCACACCGTATAATGTACAGAAATACAAAAGTGAGAGCATAAAATCTGGCAACACTGGAAAGTTTGTTCCACATAAACATATCAAATTCCATTATGATGTGAAATGTGGAAATTATGCTTCTAAACCTTAACTTCATAACGCGATACATTTGAATGAAACACTTTTTCCACAGCTCATTAAAAACACGTAAAAGAAGAAAGCAAACTGTTACAGGCTGCCGTGAACAGCAAGTTTCATTTGGCCTGAGCAGACGAAGGAAAAGCATTACACAGAGTTTAGAAAAGACTTGAAATTCTGTAAAGCAGGTGGCAGTGCTAAGAGGTTATACTCATTCAAATGGTCTAAACGTGTGCAGACAGGCCTTGAAGCTAAGACACCGGTGAAGAGTACTGTGGCTACAACTGACCTCCATAGATGTAAGTGGAGGTGACTTCAGTGGATCTGGACATAACTGTGCTTCTCCTGTCTGCCACATCTCTGCTGTAACCAGGCACAAACTTTTTCAGCAGCTGCAAGGCTCGTCTCATAAACTTCTCTCCCACAAAAGCATATATGATGGGGTTCAGGCAGCAGTGAGCGTAAGCTAAGGCCTGGGTCACTATTATTGATTTCATTAAATTTTTCTCCCAAGTTTCATCATGTGGGATTTTTCCTTTTTCCTGAAGAAACTTCAAGAAACGAGAAATGTTAAATGGAGCCCAGAGCAAGAAAAATGCAACCACTATGCAGATGATCAGCTTGACGATGCGGTGCTTCTTTGAGGTCCTCATGCTCACCAGTGTGGGAATGATCCTGGAGTAGCAACCTACCATCACCAACAAAGGAATCACGAGACCCAGTACATTTATAGTGAACAGGTTGTAATGAGCCCAGACTTTGCTCTCCTCGGGATAGTCACATCCAAACTTCTGGTACTCTTCTGTTTCCTGTGTGAAGATAAAATCCGGCAGAGAGACAAACAAGCTCAGCATCCAAACGAGCACGGTCAGAATGATGGCTGCCTTCTTTGTACGATAACGTGCAACCCTGTGAGCGTGCAAGATGATCATGTAGCGGTCCAGCGTCATGACAACCATGTAGAAGATGCTGCTGAAGAAGCCAATCTGGTGAGAGCCGGAGACTAAACGGCACATGAAGTCTCCAAAAGTCCACTGGCCGACCCTGGCATAGTGAGAGTAGAAAGGCAGCGTGAAGACGAAGAGGAGGTCAGAGAGAGCCAGGTTGAAGAGGCAGATGTCTGTCAGGTTGCTCTGATTGCGATGCTTCACCAGGACACACACCACTAGTCCGTTACCTTTGGAAGAAAAGATACAATAAGTGTACTTGTCACACTGTTACATGTAGAACAACATCATCTCTCTTTCTCTTACATGCACACACTTTCATACATCATTTAAATACAATCCAACACCCATAATATACTCACAAGAGGACGCACCTACCTATGAAGCCCAGGATGAAAACCAAACTATAGAGAGTGGCCAGAAACACTCTGATGAAGTCCATTACGTCGCTGTAGCTGATAGGATTGTAGTTTCCATCGTCAGTAAAAAAAGTGCTGTAATCATACATTGTGGTGTATTCTGTGATGTTCTCTCCTGCAAAGGGAGAGAAAAGCTTTTAAAATGTCAACAATTACGATACAACACACATGCATCAGGATTAGAGCCTATTTATTAGGAAACACAAACACAACTGCTACTGTATACACCTGCTGCTGACTGTTGGGGATGCGACAGGAGAAGAAAGTGCTGGCTGTAGTCGCCCGATCAAAGGTTACTTTTGTGTGTTTTTTAAGGTGATTTTTCCTTTTCTGAGAAAACCACTGATAATCATTGACTGAACTGTCGTTACCTGGCATTTTGGCCCCTCAGAGATAATTGATAAATGAGGGTTTATTTTCTCACAGGTATATTTTTGGAAGTTTCTCACCCCTTCATTTCCCACCGTCATCAATCCATAAGATACCACTGCTACACTAAAATAGGATTTGGTCTGTTAATTAAACCAGAATTATTATAACTTATTTAGTTCATATAAGTTAAATGATAGGACATTAAATGACAGGAAAATACAAAAGCCTTAAGATGAACTTTAATGACATTGTGACAATGCATAGAATTTGTACCTTTTTGCAAACAATTTTCAAAGACAACCGAATACTGAATTGCTGTTAAAATATATTCACCTTCCATGGCGATGTCTCAGTGAAGGTTCTTCCAGGTACAGCCAGGAATTCCACTTCAACCTTCCTTTTCCCTCTTTTACTGACGTGATGCCTCTAGACATGCAGAGGTGAAGTAACCGTCTTGATGTCTGCAGTCCGATAATAAGGACCACAGAAACAGAAGTGAAAATGTTGTTTCGTGTATGTGCCCTAAGTGAGATACTTATCAGGATTCTGTTGTTAAAGATATAGCTTGACAACCAAACAGCAATAAACCTTTAAAGAGAAAGACAGGACATGTGGACACAGCTTCAGAAAATGACTGTTGGACTTTGCTTAAAGCGTTAAAGGGTTTATTAATAATGTGATTTTATAAACACTGAATCATCCCAACATATGCTGCCGTCATCTAAATTCTTTATTATTTGTTGTTATTCCTCAATACCCATACAGTGGGGCAAAAAAGTATTTAGTCAGCCACCGATTGTGCAAGTTCCCCCACCTAAAATGATGACAGAGGTCAGTAATTTGCACCAGAGGTA